TTTTGCCCAAGGTGACTGTACTAGGAAATGGCTACCATGTGGAATTCAAATCCAGACACAACGGATCCAGAGTCTGTGCTTTTCACTGCTATGCCATATACCTCTTTCTGATTACTTGGTTTCGAAAGGGAAAATTGTAAAGAGTTGTTGATTAGATAAAGCAGTGGATATCTTACATCACAACTTGAAGCAGGCATGTGTGCCATAAGTAATTACTAAGGTCTTGCAGTAGAAGCAATGTGCTTAGTTTGGGGGTTTTCAATAGTTTTTAAGCAGCCAAACTCTTTTTTCAAGTTATAGAAGCCCAGTATATATAACAAAGGTAAAACCTGAGCTCCTCTGATTGTAAGTAGAGAAGGGAATTGTCTCTGAGACTTTTCCAAAGAACGCCTAGTGTCACTTTTCTCTCTGTGACAGAGATGCAAAGATTATTCAGAGCCCAATTATGAAGAGCAGTGAGAAGCCCCAAGGGACTCTACCATGGAAACTCCTTTTAGGAAGGAGAAACAAGGCACAGCCCCAAGCCTGGGTTGTTCTCAGCTTTTATTGTAAAGACAAGGAAGTACAAGAGAAAAAACAGCTGCATTAATCAATCATGGAAAGAATGTAAAGAACTTTGCTATGTAAAACATCTTGAGAAACACAGGAAAGGGAGTTAAATAGGATAAGAGATGATCTCAGAGTTCTTTGGTAAGCTAGCAGAACATCTTTGCTGTTTTCAGCATGTAGGTTCTGCATAAATGCACTTAGGACTTTTGCCCATTGTGCACTCCCTGTTCTTTGTGAAGCCTGCATGCTCTTACATCCTAGGACTTTGAAGAGCACATTTTAAAAATCAATCTCTATGACATATTGCATGAGTGAATTCCTTTATAATAGCCATAGCTTCATGTAAGCTTCGTAAATCTTAAATGTTAGTAAAAGTTACCCTCTGTTTTCTGCATATTGTTGCAGGTGACATGGAATTGTGGCATTGGCAATGTTTCCAACATAGCCTTTTATGATTCTTTGTTCCTTTTTATGAGATTCCTTCTCTTCCAAGTTCTCTTCAATTGCCTTGTGGACACTGGTTGTCTATTCCCCTCTCATTACTCAAAAGAAAGAATTCAGTGTTGGTTCTTTATACTTGTCTTTGGTATTTCTGGCCTCCCTTTCTGTATCCTTTTCTCCTGATAGAGACTGATTCCTGGGACATAGAGGGAATTCAGGAATGGGTGTTCACTGGTTTTTAAGGAACACAAACCCTTGAGTGCCCAATTACAGGTCTGCTTGGAAGTTTTCTCCCATATCTCTCTTTCCTGCCAACACATATAAGGGTTCTCTTGAATTGTACTATTTCTTCCCTGTTGTTTCTGTAAATATGACCACTATATATATATTAATTTTGTAGCATTTCTCATTTTAATTTATATTTATTGAGATTATATTTTTAATTAGAACACAGATAAAATGCCTGGTCATCTCTTTGCTATGTACATATTCTTTCTCTGTTATTTAAATTTATGACCAAGAATTAATGTTAGAATGCACATTTGTTAGAAGTATAGTGAATCTAGAATTGGAATTGAAGTTAATGTAAAAGAAGGACAGTTGAGTAGAGCCAATGATTATAATCTGCAAATTCAACTTATGAAAAGGCCAGCCTTCTTCCTTATAAGGCTAGTTAGAGAAAATGATGGAAAAGATAGGAGAAATTGAAGGAAGAGAGTGACAGAGATCAGTGGTGATAATGCCATGTTAATCACTAGCCGTATTGAGCAGGGTTTTGATTATAGACAACAGAATGTACGCTTGTTTAAGTAGTAAGAGGTTTCTCCCAGGGTCTTGAGTAGTTTATAGAATTTCTGAAAGAGACAGTGAAACAAGTTTTCCTTAGGAGATACAAACACACAGAGTACTATTCTAGAGAAAACACTTTGTTGTCTGTGCTCCAATCAGCTGCTCAGTGCCCACGAAGCTAGGGACCAGACATGAGACCATTCTGTCATGACCGCTATAGAAGAACCAAATGCCTCCACCACCTTCATAACCAGAAGAGCTGCATAGCTTCCACTTCACAGTGCTTACTTTCACAATACCAGTATATATTTACTTGGTGGAAGGGCAGAATCATGTAAAATCCTAACTGCAAGGGAGTCTGAGAAATGCTGTCCCTGCACTGCCATGGCACTGCAGGGGACAGTCTCAGCCAGCCTGGGCAGGCAGTGCTGCTCCTCCCGCATTCTCTCAGGGCTGACCCCAGATGTTCTTTACTTCTTAAGCCCCCTTTTCTACTCCTGCTCTTCACTCTCAACAGATTCCAGCTTCACTGAGAAAATAGAACCTGATAGGAACTAACTTTAATATGCTCCCCTCAGCCTTCAAGCTTATTAACATTTGCATCCAACCCTCCGTCCCTCTTCAAGGTTGAGGAGGAAGGTGTTTCTCCTCTTGTCTGAGGGAATTACTCCACTTAAAACCAACATCCTTTCTTAGAAACCTTGTTTTATCAGTTAAATTCCCTCTCATTTCTTTTTTTAAAGATTTTCTTTTTAATGCAATACTTGAAACATAAAAACAGTATGTCAAAGTCACTATAGTTTGATCAATTGAATCATAAGGGGAAAGTTTTAAGTAGCAAAGAGATGTGACTTTGAAAGTTAAATATTAATGTAACTTTTTGAAATGATTTATTTATACCACACTACCAACTCATCCACTGTCCATCTCGGTGGCTCTGAGTATATATTTTAATCTGTCTGTGACTCAGTTCCTTTTCGATAAAATGATGTGGTTGGCCTAAATTATCTTGAAAGTTTATCAATCTCAGTTCTTAAATATTATTATTCCATATGGTTTCATTTTGACATACACACATTTTATGAAGAAACACATGAAAGACCTTACCTAGTTTTCCTACCCTGTACTTTATTTTTATGTTTTGAGAAGAAGCTTGCCTGAATCTATCTTCAACAGAAAGCATTAGATTACAGAAACAGCAACATGTGACAGCTTAATGTAACAGAAAGAGCCCAAGATAAACCTTACCTTTCTCACTTATCAATAGAGATAATGGAGATAACTTCCTTCCAGAGTTGTTGTTAGGATAATAGTTATCATGCTAATAGCCAACTTTTAATTAGTGACAACTATATAAAAGCATTACTTGAAGTGCTTGTGTGTCCTAATACATTTAATCTTTATGACTGTGCTGCTGTTGTCTCTGTTTTACCAACAAGGAAACTCAGGCTCAATGAGGATAAGTGGATTTCCCATCCAGGGTCACACGTCTAAATGGCAGAGTCAGGATTGAAACCAGGTCATCTGACTCCAGGATCTGTGCTGTTAACCATTATGCAGTACTGCCTCACAGTGTGTTTTAAATGAAATAACTAACGTGGTAGTAACAATGATAGTAATATGTATACTTGGTTATCAGTAAGTCAGAGATAGAGAGAAGAGGTCTTTTGTATTTACTTTCTTTGATTTTCATGTCTTTCCCTTGTGTAAGGGACACTGGACTATTTACACAGTAAACCAGCTTGGCAGTGTGACTATTTAAGCCCTCAATTCCAAACTCAAAAAGTAATTGCTTAATTTGTTGTAAGTCATCATTTTCTCCCATGAGACAGATAAACTAAATCAGAATCATGGGATCCAAAATAATTTTAATATAATGAAAGATGTTGGAAGAAGTATAGGAGACTCAAATGAAGCCATGTTCTTGCTAGTCCAGAAGCCATACCAACGAGCATTTGAGAATCAACTTTAGATCTAAGTGTTTATCTACTGTCTTCATTTGTCGTGTCTTATGTATTCATATTTGTATTCTAATTCTTTTCTGCTTCTTTCTTAGCCTCACACCCGAAATAGTCAGTACACCTTCCTCCCCAGAAGAGGAGGATAAGTCAATACTTAATGCAGTTGTTCTTATTGATGATTCAGTGCCAACGACAAAAATTCAGATCAGGTTAGCTGATGGGAGTCGTTTGATACAAAGATTCAATAGTACACACAGGTAAGCTTCCTAACGCATTGTGTCTAGTTTGCTGTTATGTACTGAGTTACTTATCTAAGTAAAACTGTATGTGACTTGAGTAATGAAGAATTTGAGATTCTTTAGGTTTACTTTTGAGGTAAATTTTTGACAGAAGAAAAATCTTTAAAAGGATAATAGCTGTGTATATAAAATGAAATATATGGTATTTAAAAAATCTCTGTAAAAAATCCAAATACTAATGCAAATTTAGATATACAGAAATAAAGAGTTGTAATTCTGAATAAGAATCGGATTTAATTTAATACAGTAAAACCTTATTTGGACTTCACTCATCTAAAAATTTATGATACTTCTGATTGGAATTAACTTTCTGTATAGCACATTTTTAATAATATAAATGTGTGGTATAACTAAAGTTGAGTGTGCTATTGTCAAGTACTTCGAATAAACTGTTTCAAATATCTCGCTAACATTCATTAACATCAGCATTTGTTGTGTTAAGATATTATTTTTATTTGTTCTTTGAAGCAAGACTCTAAGGGATACAATTATGATCTTAGATGAGTTAGTAAGTATATGTGAGAGTCTTTTATTATTATTATTATTATTATTATTATGACTTACACTTTTCATACTTTTAGATTACTTGCCACAGGCCAATCCAAGTTACGTTTTTCTGGTCTGTATACTGCTGACATATTTTATACTCTGAAAAAAGTAGGGCCTGCACTTTCAGTATACAGTAGACCCTTAAACAACATGGGTTTGAACTGTACAGGTTCACTTATTCTCAGGTTCCTCATCCATGGATTAACCAACAGTGGATTGAAAATATAGTATTCGCAGGATGCAGAACCCACTTGTAAGGAGGGCCTATTTTTCATATTCACAGGTTCCACGGGGCTAAGCAGGACTTGAGCATTTGTGGATTTTAGTATATGCTGGGTTCCTGTAACCAATCTCCTGTGTATGTGGAGGGCCAGCTGTAATGACATTGTTGACACTTATTTTATGCATAACTCACCTGAAGATATTTCTATTTTACAGTAAATGTTAGGTATACTCCAAAGTTAATCCTTACCTTTTAGCTTAAGGCTAAGATAATTTATATTATTTCAATGGAAGAATTTAAAGAAAGTTACAATAAGAGTTGGAATTGTGTGATTTTTACTATGATGTAATTTTACCTAAAAGCTTACCTGGAAATATGGCTTTTGTATCACAAAGTATTTTTATCTTATTTCTTCAGGATCCTGGATATCCGGGACTTTATTGTACAGTCCCGTCCTGAATTTGCAACTCTTGACTTTATTCTTGTGACTTCATTTCCAAATAAAGAGCTAACAGATGAAAGTCTGACACTGCAAGAAGCAGATATTCTTAACACTGTGATACTCCAGCAACTAAAATAATACTGTTCCTATCCATGCAGTAGCATGTAGGAATAGATAATGTGCCATATTAATAAGGAAAATACTTCCAGCCTAAAAACAATCAAATTATTTTTCTTATTTTTACAAATAAATTTTGCTTTTATTGTTATTCTGTCTTCCAGCCTTTGTACAGATGAATTTGGATTAGGGATAGATCTTAAGATAAGTATGTTTGAGTTTTTAGTTGCACGGCTGGCTTATGTTGATAGCTTTGAAATATCTAAGCAAACCAATTTGTTACATTCTGAGTGTTAATGTAATAACATTTGTTTACAGAAAAAATGAACAAAACCCCTTTTTAATAAATGCATTCGATAGAATTTGCACTGAAGTTTCTTGATGCAGCATTGACCAACAGCCATTAAGAAATCTTTTGATCAAATAAGTTAAAAATTTTTCTGTAATATAAATTGAAAGTATCTACTCTGATTTTGAAATTGTTTGATTATACCATAATTATTTGTCCTACTATGTTTTACACGTCCTTTTTACTTACTGATTTAGCTGTATTATCCCTATCAAAAAGTACAGTTTGAGGCCAGCCCGTGGCTCACTTGGTAGAGTGCGGTGCTGATAACACCAAGGCCACGGGTTCGGATCCTATATAGGGATGGCCGGTTTGCTCACTGGCTGAGCGTGGTGCTGACAACCCCAAGCCAAGGGTTGAGATCCCTTACCGGTCATCTTTAAAAAAAAAAAAAATTTGGGCTTTTTTTTTTTTGAATATACACCACAAAAAAAAAAAAAAAGTTTGGCTTTTTTTTTTTTGAATATACACCACAAAAAAAAAAAAAAAGTTTGGCTTTTTTTTTTTTGAATATACACCACAAAAAAAAAAAAAAAGTTTGGCTTTTTTTTTTTTGAATATACACCACAAAAAAAAAAAAAAAGTTTGGCTTTTTTTTTTTTGAATATACACCACAAAAAAAAAAAAAAAGTTTGGCCTTTTTTTTTGAAACTTTGGACCTCAAAAAATAAAAAAAAAAAAAAAAAAGTACAGTTTGGCCTTGTTTTTTGTAGACTATGACCATCATAAACTAGAAACAAAAAAACATAAAGGTCAGCAATTCTTGAGAAGATGTGATAAACAGCATTTTAAAATCGAGTAATTGCAATCTCTCTCACAGCCTGTCTTGATCACATTCATTTCTTCATTCAACACATTTTTCTAGGAGTTCTAGAAAATTATGAACTCAGAGCTGAAGATTGTTCTAAGTGCTCAACCCAGATTGTGTTCTACTCCAGAACAAAACTAATGTAGAAAAACAGGAATGTAAAAAAATTGCTAGCATAAATGTTTGCATTTCTGCTAATGCCAAGTATTTCCTAAATGGTACAGACTACATGAGGAATGATAGAAATGCTTTTTCTTCCCAGATACCACTTCTTTGGTCACCAATTCTGGTTAGTTTTCCATTGCTGCTGTAATAAATTACAAGATTTCTGGCTTAAGTAACAAATTTATTATCTTACAATTCTGTAGAAATCCAACATGGGTTCCACTGTGCTAAAATCAAGGTGTTGTCAGGTTGTATTTTCTTCAGGAGGCTCTAGGGGAAAATCATTTCCTTGCTGTTCCAGTTTCTAGAGGTCACCTGCGTTCCGTGGCTTGTGGCCCCCTTCTTCCATCTTAAAAGCTAACACCATTGCATCTCTCTGACTCTTCTTCATCACATCTCTGACAACAGCCATGACTCCATCAAGGCCCATAGTAACGTAAATCACATCTCCAAAGTCCCTTTACCATTTAAGATTACATATTCGCAGGTTTGGGGATTAGGACATGAACATGGGGGTGGCGGGAAGACATTCTGCTTGCTTACCATAGCTCACCCCTATCCCAAAGATTCATGTTCATCCCAAATGAATTCACACCATCCAAAGGTGTTCAGTGTCTCAAACCATTATATCATCAACTCAAAGTCCAAATCTCACTCAATTTTACCAGTTCAGAAGTCCCAGAGTATGGAATAGGATCTGGGTATGATTCCTGGTTCATATCTCCATCTGTGAACCTAGGAAGCAAGTTATCTGCTCCCAAATATAATGGCAAGACAGGAATAGTTTAACAGTTATAGATATTCCCGTTCAAAAAGCAGAAAGTGGAATGAAAAAAGGAGCCACTGGTGCCAAGCAATTTACAAATTCACCCAGGCACACTCTTTTATTAGGTCTCAAGGCCTGGGATTAATCTGTGGCTCACAGCTTGGTCCTCTGGGCTTGTGACTGGCTAAGAGTCATCTTTTCCACAAAGGTGGCATATGTTTGCACTTCCGTCGTTTTATCAGCTTGTTTTTATTTTCATTTCACACTCTATACCTTTCAGTTTAAGATGGTAGTGTTTTTGCTGGTATAACTCTTAAGAAATTTGTTGACCTCCTATGTATGTCACAGGGATTCGCTCCAATAGACAGGAAGCTCCTCCACACATCTTTCCTAGATAATCCCATCTCTATTTTTGGCTTTTTCTGAAGTAGCTGAGAAGGATCTATTAGTCGCATCTTTGATCTCTTCAAAGAGCCTTTTTGTGTGACTGAATACTCAGACATTTTGATCTTTCTGAGGTATTAGCAAAAGATTATATAGCCACACCCTCATCTCTTTCACCACAGAATACTTTCCTGATGGTAATCTCTTAATTTTAGTCTGTTTGCCATTAGGGTAGGCTGAGAATTTTACAAATCATCAACTTCTGGTTTCCCTGTATTTAACAGTTCTTCCCTCAATTTATCTATCTACTTTCACATTTTACTATAATCAGCAAGAAGAAAGCAGGCTATACCTTCTACAGTTTGCTTGGAAATTGCAGCTATCTAAGTTTATCACTTAAAATTCTACTTTCCACATAACTGCAGGATACAATTCAGCTAAGTTTTTTGCCACTGTTTAACAAGGATCTGTTTTCTCCAGTTTTCCAAGAACATATTTCTCATTTCCTTCTGAGCCCACAATAGCAGCATCTTTAAATGTTATTTCTTCTAACAGTCTGCTCACGGTGATTTAGATATTCTGTATGGCAATTTAGGTATTCTCTACCATGCTCCTTCCTAACCTTACTAGCACTAATGTCCATATTTCTACTAACAGTCTCAAGCAATCTAGGCTCTTTCTATCATGCTCCTCAAAATTCTTCCAGTCTCTACCCACTGCCCAATTGTAGACACTTCTTCATTTGTAAGTGTTTTTTACAGCAGCACCCCACTTCCAGGTATCTAGAGAAGTCTCTTATGCTTGCTCACTGCCAGCTGACTTGAATGTGCTTCTACGAGATTTGGACTTCACCTTTCCCTGGGGTCACTGGTTATTTCAAGTATGTGAATTTACCTGTTCTAGGGATTTTAATACTGGGAGGGCCACCAGAACTACCACAGGATAAAAGTGTTGATCTGCCGCTACAGAGAATTTTTCTCAGTATCGTAAAGGAAGAAGATAATTCCTAAGTCTTCCCCTCAGAATAGGAATCCCTGCTCCTTTCCACTTACTGAAAACAACGTGGATAATATGTAAATAATAGCCAGTCCCAGTTCAAATAAATTACCAGGGATAAACTACCTTTTCATGGACCAAAATCATCTTCCTAAGGAAATAATTTCTTGAAAGAAAACATTTTAATAAAAGGGCATTGCAAACTTTATAAAATTATTAGAAATTTTCTGTAGTTTCTTTTTATTGGTTAAATGGGTGCCTATAGATGTACATAACGAAAATAACTGCCATTTTGTATATAATAGTCTTCCAAAATGTCTGAGATTTACATTAGCAGAGAAAAACATCCAGAAGGGATGAACAGTACTTTGACGTGTGCTACAGTGTTTTTCTTCACTGAGAGTCATTTTTTCTGAATTAGTTTTACTACTGCAGTCACTGTAACTTAAAGTTTATAATCATCTCAAAAAATCTTGTCATAATGAGCAGTTAGACAACATGTGTGAGTCAATCGTTTTGCATGATGTATATAATCAAAAAGTGCTTACCAGTAAAGAATATTTTCAATGAAACTCATTGAAAATGTTTTTTCAAAATTTCCTTGATTTGAGTGGCTGAATAGGTTACTTTAAACATGAATAACATTTCCTGTGGTTTAATTTTCCTCGGTGCATCTTTTTCAAGGGCAGAAAATGAACTAAGTTGTGGCAGTGTTAGCTCAATCTCCCATTGCTGTTTCTGTTGTTATTCTACCCAAATAAAAACATTTTCAGGTGCTTCTTAACTTTTTGCAACAGTGCATTTCTGAAAACCTTGTCACAACATGTATTGTTATAAAGTGTCATGTTTTCCCTTTAAGAGTTTGTGTCCCTTATTAGTGATTCGAATTAATATATCATGTATGTGGCCAATATTGTCATAAAGGCTAAGAAGTAGTTTCTGTAATTATAAAATTTTTAATTAAAGAATCTTCTGGCTCCAATTAAATGGTTTATAAAAGGAGCTCCAATACATATGTATAACTGTATGCACATGTTTTTTTTTTTTTTTTTTTTTTTTTGTATGCTCATGAAAATGGCATGTGGCCTAGAATTAAGTAGCTCTAATCCACTCATAATCCACTCAGTTTAACAATTTTGCTTCTTTAGAGTTTATAGCTATGACTGGGCCTCTGAAGGGGGAAAAAAAACTTGAATTTTTGATTTATTTTCCTTTAGATAAATGTTTCTGTATGAAGTAGAAACCTTCAGAATCATTATAGGCAGCTACAACCTTCAAATCTTCTTTGAGTACTGTAGTTTATTTCGTATCTCTTCATTGGCACGATTCCAAGTGCAACTGCTCAAGTGAAAACTACAGGGAAAGCATGCTAGTAAGTTCATTGTTTCTTTATTGTTACCACAGTTGTGGCCTGTCTTGGAGGGCCACATAAACCATCCTTGAATTAGGGTATGTGTGTTAAAAGGCTACATCAAAAGATGGCTGAGAGATCAGAGGTGAGGCGACTGCCTTTTTTGTCCCCTCACAATATTCTCTTTTCTGTCCTTACTTCACCTCCTTCAGTTTGTGTTTGGTTTGTAGTGCCATTTACAATGGCTTACAGTCAGAGCAGATACTTAAGACAGTGACTTTTCTCACTTTGACTTTGGGGATAGAACGGTATTTAAAATGAGCATATGTCCTTTTTATTTTATGCCTTTGTATTGACTTTTTTTTTTTTT